TTTTGCTAATTTATCTGCTTAAGATTTATTAAAGGATTTTAATTTAAATAAATATTAACATGATTGATGATGTGTAATTTATAAGTAAGTCGGGGTTTTGAGCAATATGCTATAGAAAAAAATACCAACATCTTAAAAAAAGAATTTATACTAGAATACTATAAATTGCAAATAGGTCTTGTTGAAAATAATAGCCAATAAGCTCAAAAAATTATATTATCATTAGGAAGTTTTGAGGTGAAGGCTTTCTAAAAGCATATTAAAGTTTTGATTTATGGGTAAAGTTGTCCGTAAATTATCAGAGCGATAAATTGTGTGACAATAATTTTGCTATGTTATAATAACCAAATTGTACAAGATCAATCACTTAAGAATATCCTTTCCTTCCTTTAATCATTTGACATAGAATTATATAATGAAAGTTGTAATGAATCAAATTCCATTTTGCATATGGGAATTTTTGAGGGGGGAAAATGGACTATTTAGGTTTTTTTTTTTTTTGGTGCCAAAATTTCAGTTCTGTTATTCAAATAATACAAGATGTTTGAAACACACATGATTAAGAAAAACTCAAACTTCAAATACTTGATACATTTGCATGGTAAACATCTTCACTCTACTCTGATAAGATTATTACACAGTTCATGAATAAAGCAAACCAAAGAGGTAAGAAACAGAAACTAAAACTTTATTTCACAATTATTTAACTTGGGTTGCCTCTAATATTTTGTATTAATGCGAACTTGATTTTGTTCATCGATACCACAACATCAATCATTATAGGTCGTGCTTCAGGTAAGTTGGAGCAACAATTTAAAGCCAGCTCAAAAATTGATGACATGTGTGGTAATACATCACCAATATTTTGATTGTGCAGCAAATTTGCATCTAGAATATGGATGACAGATTGTGGTGTTGACGTGCTCACCCAATCTTTCAAACTTAGACTTTCCACAAACATGTCATCTGTTGGCTTCTTTCTCGTAAACATTTCCATTAACAAAATACCATAGCTGTACACATCTCCTTTAATGGAAATAGCTCCTTTTGATCCATACTCTATATACCAAGTAGAATTATCAGTATAAATGCCATTTTGTCAACAAAAAAAAAAGAACATAATGTCTTTATCGTTAAAATTTAATTTTATTAATACAATAAACTCATGCATGCAAAGACAACAAATATTTTGTTAGTAATTGAATAACATAAATTTTTTATAAGATGGTAAACAAAAACAATGCATATAATTAAAACTAAAATATGATTACTAAATTATTACCTGGTGCCATATAACCAATTGTAGCCAAAGTTTTTGTATAAATTTCCAAGTGTTCTTCATCCACCAATTTAGCTATACCAAAATCAGTGAGATGAGCCACCATATTTTCATCTAACAAGATATTGCTCGGTTTTAGATCACAATGGACAATTGGTGTAGAAGAACCATGATGAAGATATTCTAATGCAACTGCCACATCAATCATTATATCCAACCTTTTTAGGATATCTAAACAGTTGTTATGAGAGTATAACCATCTGTCTAGATTCCCATTTGACATGAACTCCATTATTAGGGACTTAAAATAACCATCTGAGCAGCTAGTAATAATCTTAACAAGATTGCGGTGTCGTAAATTGCATGCTACAACACACTCAATATCAAAACTCATTAAGGCTTCATCCAAGTCTGAGCGAAATACTTTAACAGCAACTATCACTCCATTTGGAAGAGTTGCTTTGTATACTGATCCATAATATCCAAAGCCAAGAAGATTACTCTCATCAAATCCATCTGTTCCATGCAAAAGATCATAATAGGATACCCTAATTGGTGTTCCCAAATTTATTAAATCTTTGTTGGCTGAACCATTAGCATACACATCTCTCTTATGTCTTAGATAGACAATGCATGAAACAACCAGAATGACAACCATGATAGGAAGTGAGCATTTTATCAACAACTTCACTTTTTTTGTCATGTACTTCCTTTCTTTTTTACATGGTTGAACTTGTAGTTGAGATTTCCCGCAAAGATCTTTATTCATCATAAAAGATTGAGCTGTAAAATTTTGAAAACAGCCACCATTTGGAATTTCTCCATACAATAAATTATAGGAAAGATTGATATATTTAAGATCGAGTAATGACTCTAAGGACTTTGGAATTATACCAGATAAATAATTATGGGAAAGATCCATGGACTCAATGCTTATCATGCCACTAAGCGATTCAGGTATAGGTCCTTGTAATTTGTTGTGAGCCAAAGATAGGTTTTGCAGAGTTTGCAAGACACCCATAGTTATAGGAATGCTTCCTGAAATTTGGTTTCTTGACAAATTCAGTAGTATAATTGCTCTCATGTTTGACACCTTTGGTGAAATTATTCCACTTAGTTCATTGGAGGACATGTCTAAAACCAAGATATCTTTGAGACTCCAAATAGAAGAGGGTATTTGATAAATCAATTTGTTAGAGCTAAAATTCAACTTCCGCAATGAAGTATTCTCAAGGCATTCTGGAATCGCTCCTGAAAATGTTGTTGGCAAGATACAACTCACTTAGATTTTGAGTTGGCAAAGTTGGTTTATAATGGACCCTTGCAATCTGTTGTCACTGAGACTTAACCGTTGCAAGCTATGTAACTTGTTAACCATATTCGGAATCAACCCAATCAAATTATTCCCATCTAAATCTAATTCCATCAAGTTCCTTAAATTTCCAAGAACTCCAGGTATAGCTCCACTAAATTTATTCCATGACAAACCCAACGTAATAAGTCTAGAAGCATTTGATGCAATGTGTGGAATTTGTCCAGTTAGTTCATTTGCATCTAACCGTAATGTCTTCAAGTTAGGAAGTCCAATTCCTAAATATGATGGTAGAAGGCCAGAGAGAGAGTTCCCATCAAGGCGCAAGAGTGTTAATGTTGAAATGTTGAATATTTCAGAAGGAATTGGTCCTTTCAAATTATTAGAGCTCATATCTAAGACCTCAAGTTTATCAAGTTTGCCTATGCCTCTGGGTACAAAACCTGTACATAAAAAATTGATGGGAATCATGACTTTAATAGAGCTAAGATAAGAATATATACAAATACATTTATTTCTATTATTTTTGAAATCTTTGACAAATTTTTAAAATAAAAAAATTAGGGGAATCTTAAAGACTAACTCTGAGATGCCATGGTTATAGATGATTTGTTTAAAAAATCAACGTTTTTGGTGTAATAGGAAATTAATAAATTTGTGAAATAGAAAAGAAACAATTGACAAATTGTCAATTGACACACAAAAAAACTGCGGAAGGATGCACTCTTCAATAAGGGATCCCCTGAAGGGAGTTCAACTTAATTGGAGAACAGTGGAATATGTAAGTATGTGCACATAACACGTGGGCACATTATATATGATGTTGAGCTTTTTCATTGAATAGAGTTTAAATTATATTATACAAAGTACTTAAATAATTTTGCCTTTCAAATTATAAATGTCAAGGCCGAGTGGCGTGTGTGTTTTGGTGTGTGCTAGCGAGTTCGAGCCTACTCCGTCATATCTCAAAAAAAAAAAAAAAATCAAGTGGTCCCATCAGGTCGTGATGCTATCTTTATTTTATTTTAGAATTGTATGAATGAATTTAATATCGAAAAACAAAATCTCATAGACTACCGTCAATCCATGATTTGATCTTTCGATAGTTTGGATTGTAAAGTATTAGCTATATTTAAACCCCCCAAACTATGAATGGTACAATATTAATAAAATGATGAAAACATAATCCCATTTTAAATTTAGTCTATTAGGAAAAATGATTTTAAAGACAAAGAAAAATAAAAATAATATTTTTATCAAAGAAAAAAAGATATAATAATCTCATAGTTGTAAAGAGGTCGGTAACCAAATATAATTGATTAGCTACAACTGCCGTGTAAAAAAATTGATTGGACTTATAAGAAGAGAAAATAAAGCAGATCATATTATTTGCATATAATAATATACACAATACATATGTGTACCATTAAAAAAAAAAAACTACACATGTCTTATTAATATTAGGAAGGAAAAGCAAATTTCTTAAAAAATTGCATGTGAGTCTATTAAGTTTAATAATAAAAATATTTTGCTCGTTGCCAATAAATCATGTGTGGCATAAAGCATTAAACTATTTTTTTCGGCAATTTTTCTCTCCAGGAGATTTTTTTATGGTACAGTTGAAGCAAGAAATTATGAAAGTATACTTTGCTCCTACTATTGATTTTGTATACTTCCTTTAATTTCAGATCTATTGTTAAAAAAATTTATTCAATTTCACATACAATTGAACATACAAAAGTTCTCTATAAACTCAAATGAATTTGAATAATGCGATTTAATAATTTGACTAACTATTGAAAACATCTTGTATTCTTGTTCATTAATATGAACTCACATTTGGTTGTATAAGCATTTTTTTAGTTTCATTTGAATTTTTTAAATTTTATTTGTAATTGATTTTCTATAATTATCTAAATAATTTTTTTGTTTACTGTACATTTTTCAATTCCTACGATATAATTTTTTAAAGAAATATTATGTGTGATTTTAATTACAGTTAAACAGTATAGAATTGTTACATTTTATATATAATAAAAAAGAATTTTTCTTAAAAAAAATATACTAAATAAGGAAAAACTATTTACATATAACTTTTCTGTCTTATTAATATCATGAAGTTCTGTCTATTCATAATCCTGGCTTTATTTGTTATTTTGGGATTGTAATCATATGAGTTCGATCATAAGTGCATACAAAATATTAAAAAGAAGAAAACAAACATACGTAAGTGCATACCTGTAAATAAGTTACCATCCAAATATAAACCTTTTAAAAATGTGCAGTTGCCTATTGAGTTTGGAATGCTTCCCTCTAAATAATTATAATGAACACCAAAGGTTTCAAGTAAAGGGAGATGATGACACATTTCTTCAGGCAAATTACCCTTGAAATGATTGATGCCAACAACAACCGTTCTCAAAGAAGGCATGCTCCAAAGAAATGAAGGAATTTCACCTATAAATAAATACAAAATATTTGTTAATTACGTGGTAGTATGACAAGCAACTTCCTAATAAACTCACACGTACACAAGCATATAAATAATACATGGAATTTTGATAATTAGAGGCTTAAAACTAATAGAAAATAACTTACTTTTTAGGTTGACAACGGTAATTTAAAATAGACTTCTCTACTATCAATGATCAATTGAACGTTAAATTTCTTTTCACATGTGAAGCAATAACTTTGGGGATGATAAGAACAGCTATAATGTGAAGTTCAGTTTTGCCATGAGTTTCACTCACAAAAATCATAACCAAGAGGGGCGGATGTGAGAGCAATGGAAGGTGTATTTTCTTCCCATTTTCTTTTCACATGTGAAGAGAAAGTTTGAAAGGAAAATATGGTGAGTCCCACACCCTATTTTTTCCCCCACTTTTTCTTCTTCCCACTTTTCTCTCCTATTTTCTCTCTCCTAGTTCTCTTTCATTCTAACTTTTTTCTCCATCCAAACAGGGGGTTAAAGCAATCTCAATTAAAAATTTTGCAAGCAATACAGAATAAGTATAAAAAAATAAAAATCTTTAAAACATAAAATAAAGAAATGGGTGATTGGGCATACCTGTAAAGAAATTCCATGATAAATATAATTCTTCCAACAATGTTCCATTGCCAGTTGATATTGGAAGACTACCATTCAAATTGTTTTTGGCTAGATACAACATTCTTAAAGAAGAAATGTTGAGGAGAGATGATGGAATCTCACCTGTTTCAACTTAAAAGAGGATAAGATATGAGTTATATATATTTTGATGAGAGAATTGGATGTATCATAAAAATCTTTTCAAATGCAAATCCTTTCATTAAAAAAAAAAAAAAAGCATTGCGTCCACCCATACATTACAAATATGGAACTTTTTTTAAAGCACATAATCAAACTGCCCAATGTGATTTTTGTTTCAAATGTGGTTTTTAAAATCGTCATCCAAACATATTTTTCATCTTTTTATTCTCAAAACTTATTTTTAAAAAAATTATGAAATTGTTCTGGAAAAAAGAATAAAAAAAAAAAAAAAGAAGCAAACAAGCTAATTATTTTCCACGTTATAAATATCAAGTGGTCCATCAGTTCATGATCTTATATTTCTTTTATTTTGGCATTGTAATCATTAGCTATATATAATCCACATTCTATGAATCAACAATATAATGAATAAAATGACCAAAAAAAAATCTCATTTTAGTTTTACGAGCTATGTATCTAAGCCTCTGCTATGAATATATAGAATATTAATGAAATCAAAAGATAAAACCTCATTTTAAATTTATTTTATCATGGAAGAATATTAAAAAGAAGAAAATAATAAAAATAAGAAATGATAATCTTAATGCTCGTAAAGAGGTTGACATTTAAATACAATTCATTAACAACAACTTTGATTGTGAAAACACTGAATGGACTTGTAAATAGAAAAATAAAATAGTTAATAATATATTTGTATAAGTGTACCAGCTTTAAAGGGGAAACAAAGCAGGAAATATTGTTCGCCAATAGGTACTCTATATATATATATATATATATATATATATATATAACTATACGCGTCTTACGCGCTGATCCCCAAAACTTGAATATTTGTATTATGCAGATTAATCAATGCATAAATATTACGAAGGGGGAAAGCAAATTTTGTCTATCAAATTTCTTACCTGACATTATGGCAATTTTGAAATTATGTATTTCTTTATTTATGTTTACGTTATGACATTTCTCAATCTGGTGTTGCATTTTTTGTCTTTATTTTTATTGAAATTTTTTTAAAAAAAATATACTTAAGGATAAGATATGTCCTTAGAAAGTTAATCTCACAATGTTAAAAAAATATAATTATTTTCAAAAATTAAATTTGTTACTAGCTAACTAAGTCCTATACAGGAACAATTCATTATCAATATTTATTGCCCAATTTAGATTATTGGTTTAGTAAAAATATTATGTTCATGGGAGACTTACATTTTTAGAAACACACAGAAAGACTTGCGTATTTAGAAACACAAAAATACTTATTTTCAAAAAAAAAAACCCTTTCAATTCATTACACTGTGTTTTATGCTTCAGTACATAGTTTATTATTCTGTAATTTAAATTCGATTAATTTATAATTTTAGATTTATTTTTGTTATCTTTTTCAGATTTGTGGATTAATTAATTCTGAGAAATTCCTATATATCATGTAAGCTGCATCCGTTTCATTCGACAAATAAGATTATGAGTTTCAAATAAAAATTAATAATAAATAATAAAATTAATATATATTTTATGTTATGCAAATTAAAATTAAATGTTCTAATTTCCAAACATGTTGCTTGTAAGGCTTGCTTAGTCTTTTTTTAAGAAAAAGCTTCAAAAAGTTTTAAATTATACGAGTACAAAAATAAAATTTGTTTTCAAAGACTGATAATCAGCCTAAAAGATCTGTTTGGGCTATTATTATGATAATATTCTTTTTCCCATTGGTATAACTAACAATTTCAAAAATCCGATGACAAATTTTTTTAATCTTAAAAAAATAGAAAAATGATTGAAAAAAAAGAAGAAATGGCCAAAAATACAACAAAATCTAAAGCAATATCCAAAGCGCAGGTTCATTCAAAATACACCTAATAAAGTGTTATAAGATATTTCCACAAATGAAAAAAATAATAACAAAATTTCATTTTCAATTTTTTTCTCAAGATTAAAACAAAAACAAAAACACACATATGGTCTAACACAGTCATATAATTAAAATTCTGACCTTGCAAATTGTTGTTGCTAAAATTATATATGGTGAAGCCATCTTATTGATCAAAGTATAAATGATGTGATAGACAATCCACTAAATTTTATTGCTAAAATCTAGTGGATTGTCCATAACAAAAGTAAATGAAAAAACATGCCATTGAATAAAAAATATGGGGGGAAATGAAAAAAATACAAAAAGATAAGAAAGAAGGAATCCCAACTGGTGCCATGTGTTGAAAGCACGTTGTGAATATAAGTAGGACATGAATAAATGTATATACGTATAAATTTCAATTAACACACTCTAAGCATGTTACAAACATTTATATATGTATAAAGCAATATTCACTTTTGAGATTAAAAGAAAGCATCACCATTAGATGTGTCTTTTCCCAAATAAAGAGAAAATAGAAAAACCGCATTTTACGAACACACAAACACATACATTACATGTACTTGTTAATAAGTTATGGCTCTTTGTAATTATTTTTCCTATGAACGCAGGCCTTCTCATGATTCTTTAAAATTAATGAAGAAAACAAAAACAGAATCTTATTTTAAAATTATTTTTCATCTTGAGATTAAAACAAAACAAAAATACACACGTGGTCTAAGACAGTCATATAACTAAAATTCTGACCTTGCAAATTGTTGTTGCTAAGATCAAGGTACTGGAGGTTTGTCAAGCTTCGAATCTCACTTGGAATGATTCCTGGAAAAATTATATATGGTGAAGCCATTTTATTGATCGAAGTATAAATGATGTGATAGTTAAGAGTAAAATTTTTTAAAAAAATGTCTTACACATTTTAAATATCAAGTGGTCCCGTTGGTTATTGATCTTATCTTTCTTTTCTTTTATGTTGGCATTGTAATCACAAGCTTAATATAAGTCCCATTATATGAACGAAAAATATGAATAAATGAAATGGCCAAAAAAAATCCCACTTTTGTTTTCCTCTAAATGAAGAAAATATTACCATAAAAAATAGAAAATTGTTGATGCTTTGTGATTATAAATCATTAGCCATATTTAAGCCTCCAATAGAAAAATGTACGGTAATAAAGGAATGAACAGATAAAATCTCATTTTAAATTTATTTTATTATCGAAGAATATTAAAAAAGGAAATAAAAGAAGAAAAATAAGAAATAGTAATCTCAATACTTGTAAAGAGGTTGGCATTTAAATATAATTCATTAATAACTCTTCTTGTGAAAACACTGAATGGACTTGTAAATAGGAAAATTAAAAATTTTATAATACTTTTGTATAATATGCATAAAGTACATATATAATGTAAAGGAATGTCCGTGAAAAATTGGAGAGAATTGAAAATGTATTATTCAGCAACAGTGAAACTGGGTTCATGCATGACACTAGATAATTGGCCCATATTTATACAGAAACACCGATACTAGAGACTGGGTTTTGAGAGTCTAAAGCCCAATACCCCCTATAGTTAAAAAATATAAGCATCAAATCTTTAAGAGGGATTATTTATATATATATATATATATATATATATAAGCTTGTTCTAGATTTGTTGAAGCATTTAATGCATTTTTTATTTTTCTCCCAAATTAATTATAAGCCTCACCATAAATGAGGATATTTTAGGACAATAAGTAATATATTTAACATATTTATTATTTTTAATCAATTTTAACCAACTTTTTGAATTGCATAAGTTATTTTATACTTATATTTTAAACTTAAAGGAACATAAATTCTTTACAAGACTTCTAACAACCCCTACACTTTGAAAAATAGAAACGGAATACTTTATTTATAAACACAAAAGATATTGTTTGCATATAGGTAATATATATATATATATATTGTTTGCATATAAGTAATATATATACACACACGCACACCAAAAAACATGTGTTCAAAGCACGCTACGAATATATGTGCGACATGAATATATGTATATGTGTGTAAATTTCAATTAACACACTCTAAGCAAGTTACAAACACGTATATATCTATAAAGCAATATTCGTTTTTGGGATTAAAAGAAAGCAACACCATTAGATGTGTCATTTTCCAAACAAAGGGAAAAATAGATAAACCACATTTTATGAGTAGACAAACACACACATTACAAGTACTTGTTAATAAGTTATGGCTCTTTGTAAGCATTTTTCCTATGAACGCAGACCTTCTTATGATTCTCCAAAATGAATGAAAAGAACAAAAACAGAATCTAATTTTAAAATTGTTTTTCATCCCAAGATTAAAACAAAACAAAAATACACATATGGTCTAAGACAGTCATATAATTAAAATTCTAACCTTGCAAACTGTTGTTGCTAAGATCAAGGAACTGGAAGCTTGTCAATTTTCCAATCTCACTTGGAATGATTCCTGGAAAAATTATATATGGTGAAGCCATTTTATTGATCAAAGTATAAATGATGTGATAGTTAAGAGTAAAATTTTTAAAAAAATGTCTTACACATTTTAAATATCAAGTGGTCCCATCAGTTGTTGATCTTATCTTTCTTTTATTTTGGCATTGTAATCACAAGCTTAATATAAGTCCCATTATATGAACGAAGAATATGAATGAATGAAATGCCAAAAAAGAAAATCACATTTTTGTTTTCCTCTAAATGAAGAAAATATCCCCAAAAAAAGAAAATCGTTGATGCTTTGTGATTATAAATCATTAACCATATTCAAACCTCCACTAGAAAAATGTACGATAATAAAGGAATGAATAGATAAAATCTCATTTTAAGTTTATTTTATTATTGAAGAATATTAAAAAAAAGGAAATAAAAGAAGAAAAATAAGAAATAATAATCTCAATACTTGTAAAGAGGTTGGCATTTAAATATAATTCGTTAACAACTCTTCTTGTGAAAACACTGAATGGACTTGTAAATAGGAAAATTAAAAATTTTATAATACTTTTGTATAATACGCATAAAGTACATATATAATGCAAAGGGATGCCCATGAAGAACTGGAGAGAACCGAATAGCTGTTATTGAGCGACAGGGGACTTGGGTTCATGTATAACACTGGATAATTGCCCCATATTTATACAGAAACACAGACACTGGAGGCTGGGCTTTAAGAGCCTAAAGCTCAATACCCCTAACTGAACATTACCACAAAATACTTCCTCCGGTTAAAAAATATTAGCCTCAAATCTTTAAGAGGGACTAACCTTTTTTTTTTTAATAACCTTGTTCCAGATTTGTTGGATCATTTAATGCATTTTTTTAATTTTTCTCTCAAATTAATTATAAGCCTATCTCATTATCTTTTTCACTTTTTTTTAACTCATTCTCTTTCTTTTATTTTTTTTTTTTAACTAATCCTCTCCCATTCAGCCTTACCATAACATTGTGTTTGGCTCGACAGAGGGAAGGAGAGGGGAGAGATTTTAATCAAGAGAAGGAAAGGGGAGGGTAGCTACAAAGTGGAGGGGAGGGAGGGGGAAGGAAGGGGAGAGATTTTAATGATATCCTGTTTGGATTGATTGGAGGGGAGGGGAGGAAGCAATTTTAATAATACCTTATTTTGTTCTAATAAAAAATTAACTATTTTAACCTCATAAAATTTAAATGGATTTTCTCACTTTTTTATTTTGTTAAGATATAACTATATATATAATACAATTCACCAATTTTGATTTACAAGACACAGTCACACACTTATAGGATATCAAGATAAAAAGTCATGAGTGATAGACTTCAATCAAATAAAAGACCTTCAAGGTGAAAGAAAATACCGACGGCCTGTTGGAATTAGAAGAAGAGAAAGGAAAAAAAATTTACAAATACTCACTAATTTTGGAGACAATTATCTCAACAACCTCTTGCTAGATGCTCAAAAGAAGTCTCTTATGTAGAAATGTTTACGCGACTGATTAGGGGTTAACAAATCGAAAAGATATATGAGGAATTAAAATATTATCTCTCATCTTCCTTCCAAAAAACCCCACTTTTGGAGGGGAGGCTAGAAGTGAAGAGGAGGGGAGAAGAGTCCTTCCCCTTTTTAAAAAAGATCTTAACCAAACGAGGGGAAGGGAGCAACTCCCCTCCCCTCCTAAAAAAATTACACCAACCAAACAAGAAGAGGAGAGCAGCTCCAAAAATCTCATACCAAACATAATGTAAATGATGATGTTTTAGGATAATAAGTTATATATTTGTCATATTTATTATTTTTAATTAATTTTAACTAACTTTTTGAATTACATAAGTTATTTTACACTTGTATTTTGAACTAAAAAGAACATAAATTCTTCACAAGACTTCTAACACTACCTCCATTTCAAAAAATAGAAATGGAATACTTTATTTATAAACACAAAAGATATTGTTTGCATATAGTTAATATATATATATATATATATAAATTGTTTGGATAGAAGTAATATGTGTATGTGTATATGTATGCGTCCTACGTACTACTTCCAAAAACTTGAATATTTGTGTTATTAGCTTTTAATATTGCAGATCAGTACGTTAAGTTTGACTAAATAATTTTTTTGTATATTTCCAATTAATCATGTATGGCATCAAGCATTAGACTACTTTTTTGTATAATTTCCTAATGATTTCTCACTAAAATTATACCAAAAAATTAATTAGAATGGTATGTTATATTTGTTTTCAACACATCTAAAATTACCTTTTTTAATTTTGAGAAGACAAAATAAATATATAAATAAGCAGACTATTCGGATTATAAGGATATCGCTAAATATAAACAGCTAATTGCAAATGACCCAAGATAGAAATATCATTAGTAAAAGTAAGAAATACTTCAACATTTTAATTCCGTGTGACTCTAAGTAGTGTTGTAGGGGGTCCTTTCAAAATTTCAGTTAACATACGTTAAAAAATGGTATTTACGAATATTACACACTCTAAGCATAATAATTATGTGTGTTTATCAAATTCTAGTGGATTGTCTATAACAAAAGTAAACGAAAAAACATGCCATTGAATAGAAAATATGGGGGGAAATGAAAAATAAAAAAACGAGAAAAAAGGAATCCCAACTCCATGTGTTCAAAGAATGTTGCGAATATATGTGGGACATAAATATATGTATATATGTGCAAATTTCAATTAACACACTCTAAGCATGTTACAAACACGTATATATGTATAAAGCAATATTCACTTTTGGGATTAAAAAAAGCATCACCATTAGATATGTCCTTTCCCAAATAAAGAGAAAAATACATAAACCGCATTTTATGAATAGATAAACACACACATTACAAGTACTTGTTAATAAGTTATGGCTCTTTTCAAGCATTTTTCCTGTGAACACAAACCTTCTCATGATTCTTTAAAATGAATAAAAAAAAAACAGAATCTAATTTTAAAATTATTTTCATCCCCGAGATTAAAACAAAACAAAATACACACATGGTCTAAGACAATCATATATTTCAAATTCTGACCTTGCAATTGTTGCTGCTAAGAACAAGGCTCTGGAGGTTGTCAAGCTTCCGATTTCACTTGGAATGATTCCTGAGAAAATTATATATGGTGAAACCATTCTATTGATCAAAGTATAAATGATGTGATAGTTAAGAGTAAATTTTTTTAAAAAATGTCTTACACATTTTAAATATCAAGTGGTCCCATCGGTTATTGACTTATCTTCCTTTTATTTTGGTATTGTAATTACAAGCTTAATATAAGTCTCGTTATAAAACGAAACATATGAATGAATGAAATGACCAAAAAAAAATCACATTTCTATTTTTCCTCTAAATGAAGAAAATAGCACCCAAAAAAATAGAAAATCTTTGTTGTTTTGTGATTATAAATCATTAGCCATATTTAAGCCTCCACGAGAAAAATGTACGATAATAAAGAAATGAACAAATAAAATATCATTTTAAATTTATTTTATTATTGAAGAATATTAAAAAAAAAGTAAATAAGAAATAATAATCTCAATGCTTGTAAAGAGGTTGGCATTTAAATATAATTCATTAACAACTCTCTTTGTGAAAACACTGAATGGACTTGTAAACAGGAAAATAAAACAATTTATAATACTTTTGTATAATATGCATAAAGTACATATATAATATAAAGGGATGCCTATGAAAAACTGGAGAGAACCAAATGTCTGTTATTCAGTAAAAGGGGAACTTGATTCATGTATAGCACTGGATAATTGCCCAATATTTATACAGAAACACAGACACCAGAGACTAGGCTTTAAGAGCCTGAAACCCAATACCCCTGACTGAACATTACCACAAAGTACTTCCTCCGGTTAAAAAATATTAGCCTCAAATCTTTAAGAGGGACTAACCTTTTTGTTTTTTTTAATATAAGCTTGTTCCAGATTTGTTGGATCATTTAATGCATTTTTTTATTTTTCTCTCAAATTAATTATTAGCCTCTCTCATTATCTTTTTCACTTTTTTTAACTCATTCTCTTTCTTTTATTTTTTTTAACTAATCCTCTCTCCCATTCAGCCTTACCATAACATTGTGTTTGGCTCGACAGAGGGAAGGAGAGGGGAGAGATTTTAATCAAGAGAAGGAAAGGGGAGGGTAGCTACAAAGTAGTGGGGAGGGAGGGGGAAGGAAGGGGAGGGATTTTAATGATATCCTGTTTGGATTGATTGGAGGGGAGGGGAGGAAGCAATTTTAATAATACCTTATTTTGTTCTAATAAAAAATTAACTATTTTAACCTCATAAAATTTAAATGGATTTTATGACTTTTTTATTTTGTTAAGATATAACTATATATATAATACAATTCACCAATTTTGATTTACAAGACACAGTCACACACTTATAGGATATCAAGATAAAAAGTCATGAGTGATAGATTTCAATCAGATAAAAGACCTTCAAGGTGAAAGAAAATACCGACGGCCTATTGGAATTAGAAGAAGAGAAAGGAAAATTTTTTTTACAAATACTCACTAATTTTGGAGACAATTATCTCAACAACTTCTTGCTAGATGCTCAAAAGAAGTCTCTTATGTAAAAATGTTTACGCGACTGATTAGGGGCTAACAAATCGAAAGGGTATATGAGGAATTAAAATATTATCTCTCATCTTCCTTCCAAAAAACCCCACTTTTGGAGGGAAGGCTAGAAGTGAAGAGGAGGGAAGAAGAGTCCTTCCTCTTTTTAAAAAAGATCTTAACCAAATGAGGGGAAGGGAGCAACTCCCCTCCCCTCCTAAAAAAATTACATCAGCCAAACAAGAAGAGGGAGCAGCTCCAAAATCTCATACCAAACATAATGTAAATGAGAATGTTTTAGGATAATAAGTTATATATTTGTCATATTTATTATTTTTAATTAATTTTAACTAACTTTTTGAATTACATAAGTTATTTTACACTTGTATTTTGAACTAAAAAGAACATAAATTCTTCCAATTAATTTTTTTGTATATTTCCAATTAATCATGTATGGCATCAAGCATTAGACTACTTTTTTTGTATATTTCCTAATGATTTCTCACTAAAATTATACCAAAAAATTAATTAGAATGGTATGTTATATTTGTTTTCAACACATCTAAAATTACCTTTTTTAATTTTGAGAAGACAAAATAAATATATAAATAAGCAGACTATTCGGATTATAAGGATATCGCTAAATATAAACAGCTAATTGCAAATGACCCAAGATAGAAATATCATTAGTAAAAGTAAGAAATACTTCAACATTTTAATTCCGTGTGACTCTAAGTAGTGTTGTAGGGGCCCTTTCAAAATTTCAGTTAACATACGGTAAAAAATGGTATTTGCGAATATTACACACTCTAAGCATAATAATTATGTGTGTTTATCAAATTCTAGTGGATTGTCTATAACAAAAGTAAACGAAAAAATATTCCATTGAATAGGAAATATGGGGGGAAATGAAAAATATAAAAAAATGAGAAAAAAGGAATCCCAACTCCATGTGTTCAAAGAACGTTGCGAATATATGTGGGACATGAATATATGTATATATGTGCAAATTTCAATTAACACACTCTAAGCATGTTACAAACACGTATATATGTATAAAGTAATATTCACTTTTGGGATTAAAAAAAAGCATCACCATTAGATATGTCCTTTTCCAAATAAAGAGAAAAATACATAAACCACATTTTATGAATAGACAAACACACACATTACAAGTACTTGTTAATAAGTTATGGCTCTTTTCAAGTATTTTTCCTATGAACGCAAACCTTCTCATGATTCTTTAAAATGAATAAAAAAAAATCTAATTTTAAAATTATTTTTCATCCCTGAGATTAAAACAAAACAAAAATACACACGTGGTCTAAGACAGTCATATAATTAAAATTCTAACCTTGCAAATTGTTGCTGCTAAGAACAAGGCTCTGGAGGTTTGTCAAGCTTCCGATTTCACTTGGAATGATTCCTGGAAAAATTATATATGGTGGAGCCATTTATTAGCCTCTCTCATTATTCTTTAAAAAAAATAAAAAAATATTAGCCTCAAATCTTTAAGAGGGACTAACCTTTTTGTTTTTTTAATATAACCTTGTTCCAGATTTGTTGGATCATTTAATGCATTTTTTTTTATTTTTCTCTCAAATTAATTATTAGCCTCTCTCATTATCTTTTTCACTTTTTTTAACTCATTCTCTTTCTTTTATTTTTTTTAAAACTAATCCTCTCTCCCATTCAGCCTTACCATACATGAGGATGTTTTAGGACAATAAGTTATATATTTGACATATTTATTATTTTTTATCAATTTTAACTAATTTTTTGAATTACATAAGTTATTTTAGACTTATATTTTGAACCAAAAAGAACAAAAATTCTTCACAAGACTTCTAACACTACCTCCATTTAAAAAAAAAAATAGAAATGGAATACTTTATTTATAAACACAAAAGATATTGTTTGCATATAGGTAATAAATATATATATATATAAATTGTTTGCATAGAAGTAATATGTGAATGTGTATACGTATGCGTCTTACGTACTACTTCCAAAAAGTTGAATATTTGTGTTATTAGCTTTTAATATTGCAAATCAGTACGTTAAGTTTGACTAAATAATTTTTTTGTATATTTCCAATTAATCATGTATGGCATAAAACATTAGACTACTTTTTTGTATATTTCCTAATGATTTCTCACTAAAATTATGCCAAAAAATTAATTAGAATGGTATGTTATATTTGTTTTCATTACATCTAATTTTTTTTTAATTTTGAGAAGGTAAAATAAATATATAAATAAGCAGACTATTCAGATTATAAGGGTATCACTAAATATAAATAGCTAATTGCAAACAACCCATGATAGAAATATCATTAGTAATAGTAAGAAACACTCCAGCATTTTAATTTTGTTCGACTCCAAGTAGTGTTGTATGGGGCTCTTTCAAAATTTCAATTAACATACAATAAAAAAAAAAAAGATATTTGCGAACATTACGCACTCTAAGCATAATAATTATGTGTGTTTACTAAATTCTAGTACATTGTCTATAACAAAAGTAAACGAAAAAACATGCCATTGAATAGAAAATATGGGGGGAAATGAAAAATAGAAAAAAAAATCTAGAAAGAAGGAATCCCACCTAGTGCCATGTGTTCAAAGCACAATGTGAATATATGTGGGAGATGAATAAATATCTATATATTTGCAAATTTCAATTAACACACTCTAAACAAGTTACAAACATGTATATACGTATAAAGTAATATTCACTTTTGGGATTAAAAGAAAGTATCACCATTAGATGTGTCTTTTTTTCAAATAAAGAGAAAAATAGATAAACTGCATTTTATGAACAGACAGACATGAACATTACATGTACTGGTTAATAAGTTATGGCTCTTTTTAAACATTTTTCCTATGAACGCAGACCTTCTCATGATTCTTTAAAATGAATGAAAAAAATAAAAACAGAATCTAATTTTAAAATTATTTTTCATCCCTGAGAATTAAAACAAAACAAAAATACACACATGGTCTAAGACAGTCAAATAATTAAAATTCTGACCTTGCAAATTGTTGCTGCGAAGATCAAGGTGCTGGAGGTTTGTCAATTTTCCAATCTCACTTGGAATGATTCCTGGAAAAATTATATATGGTGAAGCCATTTTATTGATCAAAGTATAAATGATGTGATAGTTAAGACTAAAATTTTTTTAAAAAAAAAAATGTCGTACACATTTTAAATATCAAGTGGTCCCCTCAGTTATTGATCTTATCTTTCTTTTCTTTTATATTGGCATTGTAATCACAAGTTTAATATAAGTCCCATTATATGAACAAAAAAAAATGAATAAATGAAATGGCCAAAAAAAATCCCACTTTTGTTTTCCTCTAAATGAAGAAACTATCACCAGAAAAAATAGAAAATCGTTGATGCTTTGTGATTATAAATCATTAGTCATATTTAAGCCTCCACTAGAAAAATGTACGGTAATAAAGAAATGAACAGATAAATCTCATTTTAAATTTATTTTATTATTGAAGAATATTAAAAAGGAAATAAAAGAAGAAAAATAAGAAATAGTAATCTTAATACTTGTAAAGAGGTTGGTATTTAAATATGATTCATTAACAACTCTTCTTGTGAAAACGCTAAATGGACTTGTAAATGGGAAAATAAACAATTTTATAATACTTTTGTATAATATGCATAAAGTACATATATAATGTAAAGGGATGCCTGTGAAAAACTGGAAAGAACTTAAAATCTATTATTCAGCCGAAGGGGAACTGGGTTCATTATGACACTGGATAATTAGCCCATATTTATATAGAAACATAGACACTAGAGACTGGGTTTTGAGAGCCTAAAGCTTGATACCCCCTGATTGAACATTACCACAAAATACTTCCTCCAATTAAAAAATATGAGTATCAAATCTTCAGGTGGGACTTCTTTTTTTTTTTTTATAAGCTTCGTTTCGGATTTTTGGGTCACTTAATGTGTTTTTTTAATTTTCTCTCAAATTAATTATAACCCTCTCTTATTATCTCTTTGACCTTTTTAACTCATTCTCTTCTTTTCTTTGTTTTTTTTTAACTCATCCTCTCCCCCATTCAGCCTCACCATAAATGAGGATGTTTTAGGACAATAAGTTATATATTTGACATATTTATTATTTTTAATCAATTTTAACCAACTTTTCGAATTATATAAGTGTTTTACACTTATATTTGAACCAAAAAGAACATAATTCTTTACAAGGCTTCTAACACTCCCTCCATTTAAAAAATAGAAATGGAATACTTTGTTTATAAACACAATAGATATTGTTTGCATATAGGTAATATATATATATATATATATATATAAAAATTGTTTGCATAGAAGTAATATGTGTCTATATGTACGCGTCCTGCGTACTAATTCCAAAAAGTTGAATATTTGTGTTATTACCTTTTAATAAATGATTTTTTAGATATTCCAATCAATCATGTATGGCATAAAGCATTAGACTACATTTTGGGCAATTTATTTATGCATGAAAGAATTTTTTGGTAAAATTTTAGTGAGAAATCGTTAGGGAAAATTTTAGATAAAAAGGCCTGAAATTGTGATATTATAACAATATTCTTTTTCTTATGATACAAGCTCACTAAGAATCTCAAAATTTGGATGACAAATTGTTTTTTATTCTTTTAAGAAGAATAGAAAAATGATTAGAAAAATGATTGAGAAAAAAAAAGAGGAGTGCACAAAAATATAACAAAACCTCAAAAAAAAAAAAAAAAAGAAATGGAGACAACACCAGAATCATTCCAAACATAACTAACAAACTGTTATAATCAAGATAAAAATAGAAAATTCAATTTGTAAGTTTCGAGCATCTAGAAATTAATAGACACATCATTTTATATTTCTCAATTCCAAATCAAAGTCAAGGAGTGCAAACTCAATTTCAAACTGGAAAATGACATCTCTTGTGATTACGTCAAATTAAAATTAATTAGAATGGTATGTTATATTTGTTTTCAATACATCTAAAATTATTTTTCTAATTTTGAGAAGCTAAGATAAATATATAAATAAGCAGACTATTCAGATTATAAGGATATCGCTATATATAAACAGTTAATTACAAATGACCCAAGATAGAAATATCATTGGTAAAAGTAAGAAATACTCCAGCATTTTAATTCCGTGTGACTCTACGTAGTGTTATATGAGGCCCTTTTAAAATTTCAATTAACATCCAGTGAAAATGGTATTTGCAAATATTACACACTCCAAGCATAATAATTATGTGTTTTTATTAAATTCTAGTGGATTGTCTATAACAAAAGTAAACAAAAAAACATGCCATTGAATAGAAAATTTTGGGGGAACTAAAAAGTACAAACAAACTAGAAAGAAGGAATCCCAACTGCTGCCTTGTGTTCAAAGTATGTTGCGAATATAAGTGGGACATGAATATATGTGTATACGTATAAATTTCAATTAACACACTCTAAGCAAGTTACAAACATGTATATATGTATAAAGTAATATTCACTTTTGGGATAAAAAGAAAGCATCACCATTAGATGTGTCTTTTTCCAAATAAAGAGAAAAACAGATAAACCACATTTCATGAACAGACAAACACACATGACAAATACTTGTTAATAAGTTATGGCTCTTTTTAAGCATTTTTCCTATGAACGCAAACCTTCTCATGATTCTCTAAAATGAATTGAAAAAAAATAAAAACAGAGTCTAATTTTAAAATTATTTTTCATCCCCGAGATTAAAACAAAACAAAAACACACACATGGTCTAACAAAGTCATATGATTAAAATTCTGACCTTGCAAATTATTGTTGCTAAGATCAAGCATCTGGAGGTATGTCAAGTTTCCAATCTCACTTGGAATAATTCCTGAAAAAAATTATATATATGGTGAAGCCATTTAATTGATCAAAGTATAAATGATGTGATAGTTAAGAGTAAAATTTTTAAAAGAATGCCTTACACATTTTAAATATCAAGTGGTCTGATCGGTTATTGATCTTATCTTTCTTTTATTTTGGCATTGTAATCACAAGCTTAATATAAGTCCCATTATATGAACGAAGAATATGAATGAATGAAATGGCCAAAAAAAATTGCATTTTTATTTTCCTCTAAATGAAGAAAATATCACCAGAAAAAAATAGCAAATCGTTGATGCTTTGTGATTATAAATCATTAGTCATATTTAAGCCTCCACTAGAAAAATGTACAGTAATAAAGAAATGAACAGATAAAATCTTATTTTAAATTTATTTTATTATTGAAGAATATTAAAAAAGGAAATAAAAGAAGAAAAATAAGAAATAGTAATCTTAATACTTGTAAAGAGGTTGGTATTTAAATATGATTCATTAACAACTCTTCTTGTGAAAACGCTGAATGGACTTGTAAATAAGAAAATAAAAAATTTATAATAAATAGGAAAATAAAATAATTTATAATACTTTTATATAATATGCATAAAGCATAAGTATAATGTAAAGAGATGCTCAAAAAAACTGGAGAGAACCAAAATCTATCTATTATTGAGCGAAAGGGAACTGGGTTCATGTATAACATTGGATAATTGGCCCATATTTATACGGAAACACATATACTAGAGATTGGGCTTTGAGAGCCTAAAGCCCAATATTTATAACTGAACATCACCACAACATACTCCTGCCGATTAAAAAATATAAACATCAAATATTTAAGAGGGACTGATTTTTTTATAAAGCTTCGTTCCGGATGTGGTGGATCATTTAATGCATTTTTTAAATTTTATGCCCAAATTAATTATAAGCCTCACTCATATTATCTTTTTGACCTTTTTTTTAACTCATCCTATTTCTTTTTTCTTTTTAAACTCATCCTCGTTCTTATTAAACCTCACCATAAATAAGGATGTTTTAGGATAATAAGTTATATTTTTTATATGTTTACTATTTTTAATTAATTTTAACTAACTTTTTGAATTGTATAAGTTATTTTATGCTTATATTTGAATTAAAAGGAGCCTAAATTCTTTAGAAGACTTCTAACACCCCTCCACTTTAAAAAATAGAAATGAAATAAACACAAAAGATATTATTTGCATATAGGTAATATACATATATATAAATAAAAATGTATATATATACGTTTCTTACGTACTAATTCCAAAAACTTGAATATATGTGTTATACGGATTAATTGATGTATAAATATTAAAAAGTGAGAAGCAAATTTTGTCTAACCATCAAATTTTGCTAAAAAAAAAAAAATATCGCAAGCCAGTACGTTATGTTTGACTAAATAATTTTTTTGTACGTTTTCCAATTAATCATGCATGGCATAAAGCACTAGACTAACTTTTCAGCAATTTATCTTTGCATGAAAGAATATTTTGGTACAATTTTAGTGAGAATTCATTAGCAAAAATTTCAGATAAAAAAACATAAAATTACGTTATTTCAATTCAGGTACGTAATAAAATTATAGAAAATAAGAAAAATCAAATTAGAATTTTGAAATTCATGAAAAATTATAAAAATTTCCCATTTTTTTAATAACTTTGGAACTCCTTGCCGAAGTATTTTATATTTTTTGCCTAGGACAGTGGGGTTGGTGGGATTTAATTTCCAACCAGGTGTTAGCTAAAATTAAAAGTAACATCGTAATGCAAAAAAATAATATAAGTTCACTCTTTTATTTTAGCTTTCACTCGTGATAACAATTTATTTGAAAATTAAAATATCATAATTTCAGGCATTTTTATCTGAAAATTTTCCAAATCATTAAGTATATTTGCTTAACAAGGAAAAAAAAGTTCCACATAATGTATAATGAGTCTACAGTTATTACGTTTTCCCCTTTCTGGATGTTTCTTTTAACTTCAAATTAAATAATTATTAAGAAATTACCAGTGAAAACTTTTATGTTCAAGAGCGTTATTCAATTTTACCAAGAATTGAACGTACAGAATTATTCCAATTTTTTTGGCCAGAAAATTGTTCCAATTCAATGCGAATGAATTAACATATTTGTCCGTATTAGCAATTTATAATATTAGTAAATAATAGTTTTCTACTGTTTTTAATGATATATTTCATTTACATGTTATGTCTACGAGATACAAAATTTATATTTTTTCTTATAACATCGTTCAAGGCTTACTCATTTTGAAAAATAACACTGATATGCTCTAATTCATAATATAGAACTAGATTTATTTTAAAAAAACTTGCCATCAACAACAAAATGGAGGGGAAAATTACTGACACAGAAGGAATGCCACACCAATGAAAGTTAATGACAAATTTTGATTAATATTTTTGTTCAGTTTAAATATTTTATTTCATGTTTTGACGTGTGAAAATAAAATTATATATAAAAGAAAGCATATCCAGTTTGAGATTAAACAAAAGCATCAAGTTCCATGTCTTTAAAATTAATCTAGAAAAATTATTATTGACTAAATTTGTAATATTTAAATTAAATTAATGACTTATCAAAATAGTAAAAACAAAATTTTAGACAACCGCATAATTAAAGCTCTTACCTTGCAAGTTGCTGCTGTGAAGAGACAGCCACTCAAGTTTGGTCAAATTTCCAATGTCAGTTGGTATGTCTCCTCCATTGAATTTGTTACCCCCCAATTGTAACTCTACCAATTCCTTGCATTGATGCCAAATGGAGGGTATTTTGCCAGACAAATCATTTTCATCCACATAAAATGATTTGAGTTTTGGAAGCCCAGAACACACATTTGTTGGCAGACTCCCAGATAAATTATTTCTTTCAAGTCCAATGTATTGTCGCACTGAACTATTAAATATGGAGGTTGGGATAGTGCTTGAAAGCTGATTACCTCCAAGATATACAAGATATATTGTATGAAGCTGTTGGAGATCACCAATTTCATTTGGAATGGCTCCTTCCAATATTAAATGATAAACAATACGTCAATATCAACTTTCATAGCATGCGCATTAACTATCATATGTCATAATAAAATGAGCAAAAAATCCGCTATTGAAATAATTAATATGCATAGCAAAAATTATTTCACTCTATAAATATTGAAAGACATAATCAACAATTAATTTAAGTTAAATACTAGAGAAGTTAAGAGTGTGGATTTTTTTAGGTTTTTTTTTTCTTGCTGTTGGGTTTGACCATGCACATGTAAGATTTTTTTAAAGTATGTATTTTTAATTCATATTTATATTTGCCAATCAAATGTTGCATTTTATGTCTGCATTTTTATTGAAAACAATTTTGAAAATATACTCAAGGATAAGATATAACCTTACAAAGCTAAGCTGACAGTGTTAAGAAATATAATTATTTTCAAAAATTAAATTTGTCACTAGCTAGCTAAGTCTTATATAGGGACAGTTCAAGATCGTTGGTGTAGTTGACAAAAATATTATGTACATGAGACATATTGGCATTTTTGAAAACACACAGTAAGACTTGCGCTCTTATATGAGAAATAACATTAGTACATTCTAAATAATAAACATAACGATACTTATTTTCAAAATAGAAATAACCCTTTCAATTCAGCTCAGGTAATAACATAGAATAAATATTTTGGATATGGGGATTCATTACATTGTTTTATGTTTCAGTTTAGTTTATTTTTCCGTAATTTTAATTAATTTAAATTTATTTTTGTTATTTTTTCAGGTTTACGCCAATTCATCATTTCTTTCAAAGCACATATTTTTTGGAAGACTCCAAAAAAATTATTTTTGTTATCTACAAACTTATTTAAAATAAAAGTGAATAATATATCATAAAATTAATATTTTATATTATCCAAATTAAAATTAAATGTTCCATTTTCCAAACATATTGCTGGTAAGGCTTACTCTCTTTTTTTTTTAATTAAAAAAACTTCAAAAAGTTTGTAATAGCATGATAATAATAAACATCGTTTTCAAAGATTGATAATGGGCCTTAAAAGATCTCTTCAGACTAATATTATAACAATAGTCTTTTTCCCTATGGTATAGGGTTACTAACCATCTCAAAATTGAGATGACAAATTGTTTTTTATTCTTTTCAGAAGAATAGAAAAATGATGGAAAAAACAATAAGAAATGCATAAAAATATAACAACAACTAAAAAAAAAAAAAAAAGGAAGACAACCCCAGAATCATTCAAAACATACCTAACAAACTGTTATAATTAAGATAAAAATAGAAAATTCGATTTGTAAGTGTCGAGCATCCAAAACTTAATTGACACGTCATTTTATATTTCTCCAATCCCAAATTAAAGTCAAGGAGCGCAAACTCAATTTCAAACTGGGAAAATGACATCTCTCGTGATTACGTCAAATTAAAATTAATTAGAGTGGTGTGCTATATTTGTTTTCAATACATCTAAAGTTAATGTTTTTTTTTTAAGTTTGAGAAGCTAAAATAAATATATAAATAAACAGACTATTCAGATTATAAGGAAATCGCTAAATACAAATAGCTAATTTCAAATAACCCAAGATAGAAATATCATTAATAAAGGTAAGAAATACTCCAGCATTTTAATTCCTTGTGAGTTGTGAATCTAGGTAGCGGTGTATGGGCCCCTTTTAAAATTTCAATTAGCATCCGGTAAAAATGGTATTTGCAAATTTTACACACTCTGACCAGAATAATTATGTGTGTTCATTAAAAATTCTAGTGGATTGTCTATAACAAAAGAAAAACCAAAAAACTTGCCATTGAAAAGAAAATATGAGGGAATGAAAAAGGAAAAATTACACACAGCTCTCACAGAAGATAATTAATTCTGACAAAGTCCCTGAAAATTCCCAAATGCTTCCTGAGTCCCCAGGAACCTTAGAGCAAAAAATTAAAATCGTGAAATTACCTACTTGCCTTCACCGAATGACAACATGCACCGCATACAATTACAACCTACACAGCAACCAATCACAACCTACATTTGAGTCATTCACAACATGTACAACCCACACTCAATCGAATGACAATATGCATAGTATACAATCACAACCTTTTCAATCCGTGAGGGCAAGGAGGTAATTTTACAATTTTAATTTTTTGCTTGGAGGTCCATGGGAATTTAGGAAGCATTTGGGGATTTTTATGGACTTTTTCATAATTAATTGTTTTCTGTGAGACCTGTGTGTAATTTTCCCAATGAAAAATACCAAAAAAGTAGAAAGAAGGAATCCTAGCTGGTGCCATGTGTTCAAAGCAAGTTGTGAATAAGGGATCGCCATAAAGCACGTCTTAACTATTTAAACTTCTAAAATTCAACTCGCCATAGCTTTTTATTTCACAAATTGAAAAAAATAAATCTCATCAATATCAAATGCTAAAAAAAAAATGTGAGAGTCGTATTTTTGAGAAACAAGTCTTCTGCGTTTTGGAATATCCTCAAGAACCATTTGGTATGTAATGACAAATAAAACCCATTCTATATCTTCTAAAACGTCATGACCTAAGTAATTCCTAAGAATTTAAACAAATTTTTCTTTCACAATGATATAATTTGCATAGATTGACAGAAAAAAAAATCAATATTAGAACTGAGTTATTCAATATTAATAACGAAAACTTGAATTCTATGCTTTATCACGTTACTTTATAAGTAACTTCAATTTGGAGAACGAAGGATCATTAAAGAACAACCACATTCAATGCACCCAAACACACGATTATTGAGAGTTTATATCCAGATGAATAAATAGACTAGTTTTGAGCAAACACAAATATAAATATAAAAATTAATCCAAACATACCTGACAAACTATTATAAGACAAGTCTAGCAGTTCAAGTGAAGATAAGTTGGAAATTGTTTGGGGAATTGCTCCTGAAAGTTTGTTCATTGAAAGTTGTAAATTCTTCAAGTGCTTTAGACTTCCTATCTCAGGTGGAATGGTACCTTCAATGATATTAGAGTTCCAATCCAAAGTCTCCAACCTTGATAGATTGAATAGAGATAATGGAATAAACCCATTGAGACTGTTACTTTGAAAACTCAACTGCTCAAGCATAGATAAATCGCCTATCCATGTTGGAACTTGTCCATGAAAGTCATTATAGCTCAAATTGAACAGTCTCAATCGACGTAATTGAACAAGGTCTTGAGGAATTTGACCATGAAAGTTGTTGTTACTGAGATCAAGATCAACCAGAAAGGAGAGATTTCCTAGTTGTGGAGATATGCTACCCTCAAGATCCATGCCACCAAGATTCAAGGAATGGACCCTTCCATGACGAGTATTGCAGGTGACACCAACCCAACTGCAAGGAGAAGAAGAGACAGACCAATTAGCTAAGAAATTGTATGGATCTGAAGTGATATGGGATTTAACGCAAAAAAGTGCAGATATGTCGGTGGTGATGTTTGTCTGGGTCCAAGCTAAGCAGGATAGGAAGCAATGAAGTAGGAAAAGAAAAACAAAGGGAAGAGGTTTTTCCATGTTTTGCACAGCAGACTTATCAAATTTGCAAGTGTTGTGCATCCAGCAATTAACATACACGTCCATTTATACTTCTCCAATTCTAAATCAAAGTCAAGGCGAGGACGTTAAATTTCAAATTGCAAAATGACATCTCTCGTGACTACATTAAAAAATAACCATAAAAAAGTGAACACTAAAATAAAATATATTGCGTGATTGTGATTAATTACAGACTTCCAAATAAAAAAGCTTTTTAATTTTTTGTATTGTACTTCGTTTAAAATTGATTTATATTCTCTTCTGTTTGTCTTGTGTGGCTTTAATATTCCCATAAACACTTTTTTTGCCAGATAATATTTTGATACACATACAGTAAAGTAAGTTGTATAATTAAAAACGGTATTTGCCAAGATTACACGCTCCGGGATGGAAACTTAAAGATTATTTTGTTACACCTAATAACTCAGATCTGAACGACATGTTATAATACATATATTTATACAATAACAGATAAAAAAATTTATATAATGGTAGATAAGAGCAAAGAAAAAAACTTCAGATGCTGGGTGTTTTTTCATGAATACTTTTAGAGTATTTAATCACCTTATCCCTTTTTTAAAATGTTAATTTTGACGTAGTCTCAATTTGCAATTTTCAACTAGTGTGTCATCTATTTTATTAAAAGTAGCCTTCAATTTATTTTAATTAGGGAATTTTCAAAATGAAAAATACATCCACAAAAATAAATTTATAAATAACAGCTAAGTATAAATAACATCTGAATTTCTTTAAGACTAACCAAACAAAGATATTGACAAACCACTAAACCAAAATATATTCCAGTTAATACCAACAAAGAGTTGAGCATAGATGAAATCGGCATTCCAAAGATTAAAGTTATCCCCAAAAACAAGTTGATGAAATGACTCCATAAATACGTTAGTAATGAGAGAGTATAATTCCACTTCCTGAACCGCATTTTCATTTCCATTGCATTATTTCATTCATGGTCAGTCTTGTAGGCCATAAACAGAGAAAAAAAATTATAATTACTAGTGGGAAGAAGCATGCATGAACAAAATGTTTATCAAAAGTCTACAAACTTTAATTGATTGTACGTATGCATTGGTACATGGAGCGCTTGACTTGTAAGTAGACCTCAAAGTCACATTCGATTTCAAACGAAACAACTCGTGCGTGCGTGTGTTTGTAATTTTAATTTGGTAATATCATTTTAGTTTACCCAAAAGAGAATACCACAGTTGACTTCAAAAACACATGAATAGCACAGAATTTAATTATTTTTTGTTTCAGATTTTATAGATTGTATGTGGCAAAAAAAGTAGTATGTATTTTTGTATGCATATTTCAAAAGGCACAGAAACTCAATCTGATAATCCACTTTCTACGCCACAAACTTGAAGGAATCATTTGTGCAATTGTTTTAAAGCATTTTGAAAATCATATTGAAGGATAACATATTAACAAAATTAAAGTTGGTTTAGTTTATACGAATATAATATAGCACATATTTTAAAGGAATGTGAGGTTTGAATTTTATTGTTGAAATGAAACTCATTTTAGCGGTTAGTCTTCAAATACTTTTGTGAATATACGTAGAGATTACCCAAAGAAATTAGCGATCAAGAAGATGTCAAAGAAACAAATAAATATATCAAAGTCTTTGGAAATAGAGAAACTACTAGCGCATTTTACTTGCAAAACACAACCTGTCTATTGTGCATTAAAGTCAAACTTGCAGTCATAGTTACAATTCATCTGACCGAAAACAACTTCTAAATGTCTCCTTTTGAATGGTAAAGAAACAGTTTCATTTGGTTGTGTTAAATTTTATATTGGTAATAATTGATGAACTTTTAGACACCGCAAAAAATAATTGATGATTTTTTTTACACATTGAAAAGAAATAATTCATGATTTTTGAAATCCTTAAAATTATATAAGCAAGGATATTTTTAAATTAAAGCAAAGCATGAATGGAATTTCAGAGATTATCAAATTTTCCCGAATATTAAGTCTGAAATAATCAATAAAAATGTTAGCTAGTAAAGTATGAAATCATCTCTTAGAAGATTCTAAAACTTTTAGTTAATTCCTTTAAAAAATGTTTATTCTGTTGATAATTAAATTGAGAAAGAAGATAGGGTGCTCTTGCACCAATAGGCTGAAATGAAACACTTTATGTTATAGTAAAGATCAAATTAAGAAGCATGCATGCCATAGGAAATAAAATAAAAACAAACATGTGCATACTAATCTAAAAGCATAAAATTGCATAATAGATCTTAATCTTAAATTTAAATTAACACTATAGAAATTCAGTAGATGACCATGAATTTAACATTACATTATTTGATTTGGGGGTATAAAAAAGTCGCGTGGGAAAAAAAAGGGAAGACAATATATAATCTAAATCTAAATCCTAGAAAATGCCAATTAAACATGTTCTAAGAATTTAAAGAATATGTCATTGGAAGAATTTGAGGAGTTTTTAAATTTATTAAAAAAATTAGAAATTTTCAATAAGTCCTATAACAGTAAACTTATTAATCTTGCAAGTGTTTTAATTTTAAAGCATATAAATAACATCTTAATTTCTGAGACTAGCCAAACAATGACATTGGCAAAACACTAATCCCGAATATATTTGGGTTAACAACCAAATAAAGAGAAAGCATGAATGGAAGAGGCAAAAAAATTTTTTTTTTAATTATTTACTCGATCATAATGGATAGAGAGAATATACTTTATTTTTTATAATATAAATTGTTATAAAATTAATAATTTTAAAAAATATCCTTAAGTAAACATTTAATTATAAATTAATCAAGAGGAGATATAAGATACCATTTATAGAAGTTTCAAGCTTAATAAGGGGGGCTTTTCGTTCACAAGTAGAGCTGTAAGTAGTCTTTTTAGGTTTCACTATGACTAAGGACCCATTTGGTATGGGCTACTAAGCTACTCCCTCAATTCATAACAAATGTCACAAAAACTTTTAGATGTTTCATAATAAATCTCATTTAATATTTCAATAAGATATATTAAATGATTTCTCTATTATTTTCCCCTTATTAATACGCTCATTGATAGTCAAATAATGTTTATTTAAAGAGCGCTCACTAGGCCAGGCATAAGCATGGTAGATTTTTCAAACATTAAGTGGTCATTAGAAGAAGTTGATGCAATGAAGGAAAAAGAAAATCATGATGAAGAGCTACAAATGGCTTGTTATCACATGAAGGAAATTATTTTTATTTTCATTGTATTTTATAGGTTATGGAATAACCCCATAAATAATGTTGATGATGAGAAGAACCTTTTTTCTCTTTAATTTCTTAAACCACATTTTCATTTTCACTGCATTATTTCACTTACAGTCAATCTTGCAGGCCATATCTTGTCCCTACTGTTCACAAAAGTATATATCAAAATTCTAAGGACTTTATTATACCAACCACCCAATATTCATAGCTACAAGGAATAATTGACTTGTGAGCAGACCCCAAAGTCATGTACCATTTCGCACGGAACAACTTCTATTTTGTGGTCCATTTTGGCAGGCTATGACTAGAGATTACCCATAAAAAACGTTAGCAAGAAGATGTCAAAGAAACAAACAAGTATATCAGAAGTCTATGGAAATATGGAAAATATTGACGTGCTTGACTTGTAAGTCACAATCGGTTTTTTGTGTGCACTTAAGCCAAGTTTGTATTCCTCCGGTCTTTAATATAAGATGTATTTAACTAATTTGATTAAATTAAAAAAGTGAGAAGAGTTAGTTAATTATAAGCAATATGATATTTTTTTTCCTAAAACAACATAATTACATTTCTTAATATCCCCTCTCTCTCCTTGATTGTGATTGGAAGAGTATTAGACAATTTAAAAAAATAATAAATATGAGAAATATGTCTTACATTTAGAACTAAGATTAACTCAATAATTAGGTCCTATATTAAGGACCTAAGGAGTATTTTATATATGACCCTTTGTAATCACAGTCCATTGATGATGAGAATACAAGGTACAACTTCTAAAATTTTTTATTGGTACTAATCAATGACTTTTTCAAATCCTTAAATTACATAAGCATGGATTATTGTTTATTTAGTTAAAGCAAAACCTGAAAAGAAATTTTACAGATATCTACTTTTTCCTAAATATAAAATATTAAATAATCAATTACAAACATTATCTAGTGAAGTATGAAATCATTGTTATAAGATTTTATTCATTTTCTTAAATCAGTATTAGTTATTTTGTGATAATTGAGTCTAGAATAAGAAGAAAGATATGCACAAGCAAAGATAAAATGATCTTGACTCGTGAAAAAAGAATAAAGATCAAATTAAGGAAGCATGTCATAAATAACTTCTAAAATATTAAACAGAAAGGTGTGTATACTTGTTTGGTGAGTTTAAAAGCAGAAAATTGCATAATACCCTGAATTTAAAATTTAAAGCAACACTCATTTAATCTCTCTAATGAAGAGAAACTAAGGTCTTCTCTACCATGCGATATACAAAGCGGTGCATATTGTACATATACTTTACCTATGTGATATATAGTTATCTTTTTTTTTTTTGTTGAGATAATTAACATGTATATCCTTATAGTTTTGATTGATTTTGAATTAGGTCCTTGAGATTTTTCTTCTTTTTATTAGATCCTTTAATTTTTTATTGTTAAATGTGCTAGTCGTTACTGTTAAACATCTACTCACACCGTTAAATATTGCCGGTAGGAATCACTCACCCACACATCTCCTCCTCTCCCTTCCCACCATAGCTGTCTGACCAAGCATTCCTCCCTCCTTGGACATATTATCCTTTACCGTCTAGCCTCTTCATCATTTACCTTGACCCCGGTTTGAAACCATCCAGCATTATCAGACAATATTTATTGTTGAATCATGTTCCAATCTAACCTCTACTTTCTGGGCTGTGTGGACATTTTAGTTTAATGAGTATTAACGAAACTAACTACTTTAGATGTGTGTAGGTATCTATGAACCAAAAGAAATCGATGTCCCTGAACCTATTCGAACTATGAACTAA